AAATGCTATCCTCACATATATATATATATATATATATATATATATATATATATATTATATGCGCAAGCTGGTCATTCAGGAAAACATCTAATTGTCTTCGCAAGGAACAACGTAGATCTTGGTCAGTAAAATTTCTGACCCACTCTTCTTGTCATTTTCGGTTGTGTGGTTTGGTACCTATTTCGGGCCTTTCAGTCCATTTAGCGGAGAATGTTACGGATAACTTTCTGAGCTGTCACATCCTTTGGCAAAGAAACATGAATCGTCCAAGTTGGAAGGGTTTCAAGATGCACAAAAATTATATCGTCCTTCGGTACTATTTCGATATGATTGTAGACGGTACCTACTGCCTACGCGTGCTTATGCGCTATTCCCAGTTTCCTGGGCTTGAGGTAGATAACCCTTCGCTTTCATATCTTAAAAGATCACTTGGATTCTGTTTTGCCGATGAACCACAGAAGTATAAACCTCATACTGTTTAGGCGTTATTCGTCTGACTATGGTTACTCGGAAGAGTTTCTTCGTGGCCCATGTCACTGGAACAAATACTTGTACGGTATTTTAACCACAGTATTGGTGGTTTTAACACGACTATGCTTCTGTACACCGCCATATCATTCACTACTTTATTTCCGATATGACTTTCATTATGATATATTTTGCATTACAGCGTTGTTCGGCTTGACACGGTTCATGCGTGTTCACCACTGATTTGTTTTATTCGACTTGTTCGTTAACGAACGGCAACGGACGGTGAATGACCGATGGTCTTGCGAACATGCTCTGCACCGAAGCCCTACGAACAACCCCGTCTATCTTGAACCAGTTGGCTGCGCTGGATCTTCCGGGAGGGTTGCGGATGTTCCGGCCCGTGATACAAAATATGTCGGATTTAGCATATGCGTTTGACACAGGTGGGCTGCTTTTTTTGGTTAAGATTAGTTACCCTGGGTTGAATTTGCCGTCGTCATCCGTTATGTCGCATCAATTTGAGTTTGGTCAGACTGCGTTGGAATATCTGAAATTCTTCCTAAGCTTGAAAGAATAGGGATATAGCACAGGGCCGGTTTGCTCTGTTTGAGGGTTCGTAACGTCGCGGATCTTACTGTGAGCGACTGCTCAGTTCTTAAACCATTTGGAAATTGTTTTGTTGTCGGGGTGGCATGCTTTGAGCCGGGCCATGATTTGCTTTTCAGATTGTGGACCCAAGGTGAATATATGAACATCATTTGCGGTGACGTTTTGCTCGATATTGGTTGTCTCCCCATGCCTGCAATCGATGACAAATTACCTGGTCGTCCCAACTCGCGTAGAACACCACTTAATGTTGTTAAAAACGCTGTGAAGAAGCTGCACTGTTTTTCAAAGGTCCAACTCCATTATTGTCAGCTTTACAATTTTATCCGCTGTTAAGCTTACTGTAAACTCTTCGACGGTCAACTATCGGTCTCATCCCATCAGGTAGATGTAATTCCTGTGTTTCCATCAAACTTGCGGTCTGCTGAGCTACCGAATTGTACGCTATTTGTGAAATGCACTTAAGCTTTAACAAGAGGCTCAACTGAAGCATCCACTTAATACATTATCCAACTAAATAAGTGGCACAGAAGACACCTCAGGTTTCAGTTGGCACGATATTCCAGGTAACCCAAGTACTTTTGGTGATAGGCTACACTAATCATAAGGGTGATGAAAACTGTTTGACGGCTCACTAGGGTTTCCGTTCTTAATGGGCCTCGTTAGCAGGCGTAGTTCCCGAGTGTCTTTCAAGAAGCATACCTCGATATCTCGAAAATCGTGCCTATCGAAGCCTGGAGCCTGTCGCGCATTCAGTTGAAAAACATCATGAACGTGAGACTCATTTGAGCCTCTCATTAACACAAAATTCATTTCTAAGTATGCTTTCCGGATTTCCAGTTCGTTGACTTCCGCTTCATATAGTTTTTCACCTTCACTCACCTACTTCCTTCTGGTAGTATTCGAAAATATGCCAATTGTTCTCTGAGAAACTTCAAAGGTGGTTAGAATTGAACCAAAGAATCTCGTGTTTGATTCCCGGAAATTCGAACAACGCACTCGCGGCAATTTAGCAAGACACCATTTATTTATTTATTTATTATTTATTTTATTTATT